TCCGTCAGCTTTGATGGGTTTTGGATCCGGGATTATTCCCTTGTTTTTCAACTCTTTGTACACCACGGCTCCTCCAGCAGAATAGATTCCCTAATGGCTGGTGTTAGCTCCTCTAGGTATCGTTTTTGTAAGGCACGGATCTGGATGTTCGACCTTCATTCGCGGGTTCTTTATTCGGCTTCACCTCCTTGGTTTTTGTTGCAGGTTCGTTCGTTGTCCCGAAAATCGGTATGGACATCGATTCTTCTGCAATCACATGCTGCTGAGCTCTCACGAGGAACTCGTGGTATGTTTTGAGCTTGCTCTGACATAGTGACCATCTGAACATTTAATTCGCTTTTAGACCCGAGTAGGCAGATACGAGCAAGGTCTCTTGGTGGCCATATTCTGGACCCGTTCGTTGAAATGGGTGATAAAGTCTTTCAAACTCTCCTCCATGCCGTGCACAATGTTTGTAATCAACTGCTGCATATGTGACCCTATAAAGAGGGCTCGGAATGATGACTTCAAATGTGCCCAACTATGGACCGAAGTGGGCAACAGAGAATGATACCATCTTAGGGCGGCCTATGATCTGGATCCCACTCCGGAGAATAGGACTGCGATGCGCCGCTGCCATGCCGAGTACCAGCTTTGACTTCTTATGGAGGAGGACTTCTAGAAGCAGAAGGCGGCCGTTCGCTGGGTGGCCGAGGGCGAGTGGAACACTAGGTTCTTCCAGGAATTCGTTAGGCAGAAGCGTGCTAAGTCGTACATCCACAGTATTGAGGCTGATGGGTCATCCCTGACCCAGGAGTCTCAGATTCGGGAGTCGGTTGTTGCTCACTTCCAGACCCTCTTCACCTCTGACAAAGGGGCCCTCGTTGCCCCGACTGCTTCTTTCTTTCCCAACATTCCTCCTTCGATAGATCTTGTTGGCCTCTGTGAGCTCCCGAGTAGGGAGGAGGTTAGGGAGGCTGTCTTCGGAATTGATCTCAACAGCATTTCTGGCCCCGATGGTTTCTCTTCTCTCTTTTATCAGGTCTGGTGGGATATTGTCGAGCCTGACATTGAGGAGGCAATGTTGAATTTCTTCTCCGGTCACCAGATGCCGGATTCCTTCACGTCTACCTCTGTCATCTTGATATCCAAAAGACCTAATCCGAGCTCTTGGTCCGACTACAGATCAGCCAGTGTAACGTTACCAACAAGCTCATTTTGAAGATTCTTAACGGTCGTCTTTCCCCTATTCTCCCCTCCCTCATCTCTCCGAACCAGAGTGGCTTCATCAAGGATCGGGTCATTAGTGATAACATACTTCTGGCCCAGGAGATGATCCACGATATCTCCTATGCAGACTGGAAGCGGGCACCGAACATCGCGCTGAAGCTGGACATGGCTAAGGCGTATGATAGGGTGGAGTGGCCGTTTCTTAGGGAGGCACTGGCTAGGATGGGATTTCCTGAGCGCTGGATCAGTTTTGTTGAGGCGTGTGTGGAGCACTGCACGTTCTCGGTCCTGGTTAATGGTAGCCCCACCGATTTTTTTCCCTCCTCTAGAGGCCTTAGACAAGGAGACCCCCTTTCCCCGTCCCTTTTCGTTCTTGCGGCGGACTACCTCTCTCGCTGCCTTGACGGCTTCATCCGCGGCTATCCACGGATGACATACATCACCCGTGGCTATGGTCCTCCTATCTCGCACCTTTCATATGCGGATGACATCATCATCTTCACCCAGGCGGATGATGATGGCTGATCGAGCTTATGCACCTTCTGGAACACTATAGCTCGGTTACCGGCCAGCGGATCAGTGTGCAGAAGAGCACCTTCACCCTCTACTCTTCCAGCGCGGACAGGTGGGCTTAGCGGGTCCACGATATTACTGGCTTTACGCGCGGCGACCTTCCCATTACTTACCTCGCTGCCCCTTTATATAAGGGTCATCTCACGAGAGCGCTCTTTGCGAACATTAGACAGAGGATGACCGACAGGATCTCTGGTTGGTCGCATAGACACATTTCCTTCGGGGGTCGGCTTGCGCTGGTCAAGAGCACCCTGAGTTCCCTTCCGCTTCATTTACTTATGTTCCTCGACCCCCTAGGTCTACTCTTGACGAGATTGACCAGGCTCGTTATTTCTGGGGTTTCGAGGACGGTTCCGGGAGGGGGAGATGTACCCACTGGGTGAGTTGGGGATCTATTTGTCGCCCTTTTTCTGAGGGCGGCCTTGGCATCCACCGCCTTAGGGATATTGTTACTGCCTTCTCCTACAAGTTGTGGTGGCGTTTCAAGGAAGGAAAGTCGCTTTGGGCTCAGTACCTTCGCGGAAAGTACTGTTCTAGACGCGCCAATCACCTTTGTTGGGTGACGGCGGTGGCTCATGATAGCAGACAGTGGCGGCGTCTTACTAGGGTCGGTAGGCGCGCTCAGGATCACATATTTTGGGTTTTGGGTGATGGCACGGTTAGTTTTTTGGATGAGTGGTGGATAGGTGATAGGCCGTTGTCTAGGGATAGGCAGGTGTCGCATTCCCCCTTCCTGCTTGTGAGCGACCTTTGGACGGACGGGTCGTGGGATAGGGGGAACTTGATAGAAAGTTGGGCCTTGGGGCGGGTTTTAGCGAGCATTTATTAGATCAGATCCAGCAGATTCCCATCTCGGGGGACGATTCGGATGGCATGAGATAGAGACTTACATCATCGGGTGTGTTTTCTTCTACCTCGGCTTGAGAGCAGATTAAGCTGAGAGATCGGCCTAATCTTCTCTTCGGAGCCATCTGGAGCGATCTTTTCACCCCTACCATTTCGATATTCCTTTGGCGCATCCTCTTGCGTTGGATACCTGTGGACACTGTTTTACATGCGAGGGGGATCTCCTTCCCCTCCCGGTGTGTGTGTTGTTCTGAGACTGGACGCATGAGACCGAGACCTTTACCCACCTTTTTTCTAGAGAGTGAGATTGTGGGAGCATTGCCACATGGACACATATATTCCGACCCTCCACAGACAGTTTCTTTGAGCTCCTAAGTTTTTTCTCACAGAGCACACACCTTAGACACGTGGGCTTCCTCATTCTCTGTTTGATCCTTTGGTTCACCTGGACGGAAAGGAATAGTGCGAAGCATAAGGATATTACTTTTTTGTTTTCTCACATTGTTTTGCAGGTAGAGAGATATATTTTACTCCTCACATCATTGGGTAGGCTCATTGCCAGAGACTGGACAGGCTGCACGCCACCACACCGATACATGGTGGCTCCCCTTCGCCTATTCGGCCCCCCTCGGCCCAGAGCTGTTGTTTGGCTTTGACCCGATTCTCCTTGGGTCAAGCTGAACACTGATGGCTCTTTCGATCGTCAGACCGGAGTTGCCGGAGGAAGAGGTTTGATCCAGGACCACAGCGGCGCCCTTATCACCGCCTTCCACACATCCATTCAGGGCTCCTCGAGCTACGACACAGAGATTCATGTACTACAGATTGGCCTTCAGATTGCTTCCCACCTCTCTAGTCATATTTGGATCGAGCTGAACGCTGCGGCGGTCGTCACCATCTTGACCTCGGGCCACCAGGGCTCGTGGCAGATTGAGCACCCGCTTATGCGCATTAGAGCTCTTCTGCGGTCTGTCCATCATAGGATTATGCACATTTTCCGTGAGGAGAACAGACCTGCTGACTACCTTGCCAGCCTTGGCGCCACCACACCTAACCTACACACGTTTCAGACCGACACTGCTCCACTCCGCCTTGCTGGTACGGATGGACCAGCTTGGATATCCATCTTTTCGCTTTTAGTAGATTTGATTTTGTTCTCATTAGATCATACATTTATTCCTGGCACCTGTTAGCCCGATGACAGACCTTGTATTATTTTCTATTTCTGTTTTTGTTTTCTTTTTTGCCTGTGAGACTATGTCGACTGTAGCTGTTTGATATTTTGGGCCCGTTTTGGGGTCTTGATCTATGTACAGGTTGGGGATCCAGCCCAATCCCCCGCCTCTCGGGGTGTTTTTTTTTTAAAAAACGTAGCAACTACTAACTTAGCACCATCAGACAACTAACCTAGCACAATCGTACAACTAACGTAGCATCATCAGAAAACTAACCTAGCAATATCAAATAACTAACCTAGCACCATCAGACACTAATCTAGCACAATCATACAACTAACTTAGCAACTACTAACCTAGCACAATCATACAACTAACCTAGCACAATCATACAACTAACCTAACACCATCAGACACAAAAACATGGCAAATGCTCTCCCTTCTCTCTAGCTTTCTCTCTCTAGGATTTCCTCTCCCGCCTTTTACCCTTACCCACCACACTCCCTCACCACCCACCGCCTCCACCTAGCCGCCGTCGGGCCTGTCCGTCTTTTCATCATTATTCCACAGTTATATCATTATGGATCCCCCACCTAATAACCTAGCTAGCATACCAATCCCAGCAGTTAATCCCTTACCAGAGTTTGATTTATTCATGTCACAACCTGAATTTCGAAAAGCTTTCTCGACTTTTCTTGAACAAAGAAACACAAAGAAGAAGGTAGAAGATCAACGCATTAACATGGAAGAAGGCGGATTAATGGCAGAGGCAAGGAAAAATTGGGTCGGAGTCACGCCTGACAACTTGGGTTCCAGAGAAATAAAAGAGCCGTCGCCATTTGTTTTCGGGTCTCTTAAGTCGCCGGTGGAAATTAGCTTGCCGGAGAAGGCAAAAATCGTGGCATTCTCTTCCCTACGCACGGACCAGCAGCCCCCTCGTCTAGGGTTTGGACAGATGGCATGAATTGAGCTTAGGGGAAAGGTATTGGGCCAACAACCTATTTCTCTTGGGCCCAATATATCGATTCCACTGGCCCACCCCATCCCTAACTCATCACCTTCTCACTCGGACCCGCAAACCTCCAGCAGCCCTCAACCCTGTCAGCCCGTCGGCCTTCCTCCTCATCACACCCAACCCAAAGCCCAATCCCAGTTCCAGCTCACCTCAACCCAATTCCAACCCAATCTTAACTCCAGGCGAAACCTGCATCATTCTCAGCCCATCTCAACCAAACATTCTCAGCCCACCACTACTATCATCCCTGCAGCCATCAACGGTCACCTTCATAGCTCCGGCCATCTGTCCGGCGCCGGCGCCGGCAACACAATGGTCACTGGAGATGCTCAGCCGGCCGGAATCCTTCTTGGGGCCCCGCTGGAGTTCATAGCCAAATCCAAAGCTCTCGGCCCGCGGCCATTTCCGTCCACCTCATCCGATAATCTTGCCGGAGCAGAGTTGCTTTCCACCAGAAATGCTGTCTCGGAAGTTTTGTATGTTCGTGAAGATGGGGTGACTACTATGGCCCCTAATTCGGTGTCCATGGCCCAACCCAACGGACCCCCTCCGAAAGTGATGACACCACCGTCGGGCAACCCAACGAACACCCCCGCCGCAGCCGGGACCCTTCTGGCCACACCCAATAGGCCGCTCTCCTTCTGGAAGGCTATTACAGGAAGGAGAGATGGCGGTTCTGGAGTACCATATCCGACGGCCAAGGAGTTCACCCTTGACGGGGAATACGAGCATGCTTGCGGCTCCATCATCCGCTCGGAGGGAAACAAGGTGAAGGTTTGATTCTCGCAGGCCGAAGCTGACACCCTTGCAGGTAAGTTAGCTAACACCTTGGTTTTTAAGTTCTCTTATGCCATCCCTCCCCCCGAGATATATCTGCTGGATTAGGTAAGTTGGGGTTTAAGGGTAGATTTTCATTTAAGTGGTATATTTCAACCATTTCCTAGTCTCCTTCCACCTTCCTGAGGATTATAATGAGGCTTGGCTTAAGGCCTCTATTTCTGTGTGCGGATGCCCAGCTAAGTTGTTCAAATATACTTCCGGGTTCAACCCGAAGACGGAGACGCCTGTCGTCCCCGTGTGGTGCCGCCTACCCGGCCTTCCACCATACCTCTATCACCAGGATTCCATCACCACACTTGCAAAGTGTGTTGGAAAACCAGTCCGTGTCGATGCCCCGACTGCCCTCCAGTCCAGGGCTAATATGGCGCGGTTTTGTGTTGAGATTGATCTCAGAGTGAAGCCTATCAACGAGATTGAGATTGAACAGGGTTCAGAGACCTTTGTTCAGCGGGTGATCTATGAGAAGATCCCCGCTTTCTGTTCCTCGTGCTGTCATGTGGAACACATAGCAGCCGATTGCTACATCAGTGGCAATAAGCCACGACCCATTCCGCCTCAGTGCCGTCGTGCAACCCAGCTGGGACCCTCCAACGGCCGGAGGGACCCGAAGGGAAAGGGCAAAGGCCCTCTCCATGTGCCCGGGTCCCCAAAGGGGGCCACGGATAAGGGCAAGGCCGTGATGGACGCCACTGCCCAGACTGGGAAGGATGCTCAGCCAAAGCTGTTGGCTACAGTAGGGCCCTAGGCCAAGGCCTCAGGCTTCCTTCGCAATGATACCTTACAGTCGGCCTTTAAGGCCAATCACTCGCGCTTTGCTGTCCTCTCCCTAGAGCCAGAGGATGACGCCGAGGCTTCTAGTGACCCTCATAGGCTCTCGGTTCTTGCTCTTTTAGACGATGATGATCTTTTTCTAGATGACCTAGAGCAGCCGTCCACCGCGTCTAGTGGCACGCCTATCCATTTATCTGATGACAACACTCGTGGCGCTGTTCTTTTGCATGTCCATTCATCTATCCAGGACCGCTCTATGGAGATGAGGACTGCTCCCATCACTGCTCCCCCGAAAGGAGATGAGTTGGCACATATTCCATCTGCTGGGATTGTGAGCCCAACTGAGACGACACATATTGCCTCTGCTAGTCTCCAGCCGCACTCTGTCGGCGAGCACCCAAGTGCTATGCCGACTGGAGTCTCTCTTCCTCCTCTTCCTGAGCAGACATGTGGTCTTAACTGCGCTCAGCACGACATCTCATGCGAGAGTTTCGCCTCTAGTGCTTTCGTGCATTATGACAGACAGGAGACTGGCTCGGAGATGGGACAGGCTCCTAGTGCCGGTCTGGGTCAGATTGCTCAGCCTGATGATTCGCAGGCTACGAGCACCTACTGAGGGCGTCCCCCCTCGAAGACCAGACCCGCACCGCGCATGACACGGTAGACTGTCTCTCCTTCTCTTCGATCTTTGCGCCACTTCCCACCTCTCACAGGTGACTCGACTCAACCTCGCCACAGGCGGACCCCGTCCGGTGGCTCTTCCGATTGTTTATATGTTTATCACATCCATTTCTTGGAATGGCCGGGGCCTGGCTAATAGGGCCACTCTCGCTCATCTTCGCTCTCTAATTCGTGATCATAGTCTTGATTTTGTTGGCTTTATCGAGCCGATGATTCGCACCCCTGACTTTGACTACTACTCACGTCGCCTTGGCTTCCACTCGGGCGTGGGTAACATTTCTCATATGATCTGGATCTTCCACTCACGTTATTACACTTGTCGGGTCCTTCGGGACACCGATCAGGTGCTTCATGTCGAGCTTTCTGCTGGTCACCTCCCTGAACCTATATTCCACACTTTGGTTTATGCCAAGTGTAATAGGGCTGGGAGATACGATCTGTGGGACACCCTGCGTGAGATTGTTGAGAGTATGGAGGGATTGCCATGGATGGTTAGTGGCGATTTCAACATCTTTCTCCACTCCGATGAGCGCGTGGATGGCCGCACGGACCGATCCCGGGAGATGTGGGACTTCGCTCAGACTGTGGCGGAGTGTGAGTTGATTGATGCTGGATGTGAGGGTGTGCCCTTCACGTGGATTAGGGACGACCTCAAAGAGAGGCTCGACCGTGCCTTGGTTTCTGAGGCATGGTCGAAGGTGTTTGCGGTCACAGCCGTCAAGCACCTCACTCGATTTGGGTCTGATCATTTACCTCTTCTCATTAGGTGTCAATTTTCGAGCACCACCCATCGCGCTTAGGTTTCAGAACATGTGGGTTCGCCACCACTCTTTCCATGACACTGTCAAGGACTCCTGGCTTCAGCCGACTGGGCTCTTCGGGATGCGCAATCTCGAGGCGAAGATCGGAAGACTACGACATAGGTTGAGATAATGGAACAAGGATGTTTTTGGAAACCTCCATCAGCGTCTTTCTGCGGCTCAGAGTGCGGACGCGGAGGCTGAGCGGGCCTATGACCTAGATCCATGCACCGCTACCATGCCGAGTACCAGCTCCGACTCCTTATAGAGGAGGATTTCTGGAAGCAGAAGGCGGCCGTTCGCTGGGTGGCTGAGGGCGAGCGGAACACTAGGTTCTTCTAGGGCTTCGTTAGGCAGAAGCGTGCTAAGTCGTACATCCATAGTATTGAGGCTGATGGTTCATCCCTGACCCAGGAGTCACAGATTCGGGAGTCGGCTGTTGCTCACTTCCAGACCCTCTTCACCTCTGATAGAGGGTCTCTCGTTGCCCCGACCGTCTCTTTCTTCCCTACTATCCCCCCTTCGATCGACCTTTTCGGCCTCTGCGAGCTCCCGTGTAGGGAGGAGGTTAGGGATGCTGTTTTTGGGATTGATCCCAATAGCGTTTCTGGCCCCGATGGTTTCTCTTCTCTCTACTATCAGGTCTGCTGGGATATAGTCGAGCCTGACGTTGAGGAGGCAGTGTTGGATTTCTTCTCCGGTTACTGGATGTCGGATTCCTTC